ATATCTCTACTTCTCAAAGCAATCTATATATTCAATGCAATCCCTATTAAAATTCCAGTGAACTTTGTCACAGAACTAAAACAAATAATTCTAAAATGTGTATGGAACCACAAAAGACCCTGAATAGCCAAAACAATAACATTGAGAAAGAAGAACAAAGCCAAAAGTATCACACTACCTGATTTCAAACTATACTACAAAGCTGTGGTAATCAAAACACTATGACACTGACATAAAACCAGATTCATAGACCAGTGAAACAGAACAGAGAGCCCAGAAATAAACCCATGCACATATGTTCAATTAATTTAGGACAAAGTAGGCAAGAATATATAATGGGAAAAGGACACTCTTCAACAAATGGTGTTCAGAAACTGGACATGCAAAAAAAATGAAACACAATGTGCAGTGAACTAAAATCTTGAAAACATGAATACATATTCTGGCCAAAGGGAAGAAATCCTTTCAGCTTGTTTACAAAGTAAAAGATCCAATACACAGATGTGCTCATTAGCTTCCCAGACACTCCCTGAATTCACATGGTTTTTTGCCACAGCTCATGTGAAACATGGGAAAGTATTTAGCTATGAGTACACAAAAACATGAACAAAATAAGGCAAACTTGGAAATCCTAAAAATACAGGAAACTTTTCTTCTTATTCCTTTATTAAAGCAGACCAGAAATGAAACTTGTTCTGACAGTCTTAACAAACCTCAAAAGAGATTTAAATGCTTTTACAAAGGAAGCATGCACTTAAAAAGACTTAGTGTAATTTTCTGTCTTTTTGAAAGGTTCAAAAATATTTTATTAGGCAATAATTTGATTTCAGTTTATTAGATTACTATAATCATACATGTATTTTCTGTATGTTTTATTAACTATGGTATGTAAAACCTGACAATTTTAATAACATTTATTACAAATAAACACCTTCTAGTCTTTATATTTTTTCTAACCTCTTCACTAAACACACTTTTCCAGCAGAAACTGGATCCTTCTAAAATTAATTTTCACTACTAATCTTTAAAAGGGCAAAAGGGTAAGGAAATTCTAGATGAAAAGTTCAGTAAGCAGGCTTACTTACAATAGACCAGAATCTAAGAAACTCACAATAAATATGTCTCCAAGTGCATATCACTCATTGTCATCTCAATGTAGTGTGTCTAACATATAACCTACCTCCTTGTATCCTCCCCCCCACAATATACTATCAACAAATACAGGGGCGCCTGGGTGGCTCAGT